AGTGGAATAAATTACTGTGCTGAAATACTCCTGTAAACAGTGCTGTCCACATTAGTTGACTCCAGCTCAAATTGTGCTGGAGTTTATTCAGGCACATTACTTGCACATGTAGACAGTCTTGTACTGAACTTCTGCATCTTGCAGAGAACATGATTTTTCACAATTAATTTATTTTCAGCAAAGTTGCCAAAAATATAAACTTTATCAAAAATGGCTAGCCTAACTGAGCTGGCATAGTCTAAGATGAATACATCTCATATCTATCTCAGGTATGATGCTGCTTCTAGCTATGACCTCTTGTATGTTTTCTACTCATATTTCCAATATTTCTCTCTAATAATCTTGTCTGTGATGCTTCAGAAGTATAGGTGCACTGTAGGACTTAAATATGAAGATAGTCTGAGGAGGGTTTTGCCAGTGACACCTACTGGAAGAGTTACCATTTACTAAAGTGTCCTCGTTATTATCAGTTTAGAAAAGACAGTGCTAAGGTGGCACTGTGAGATCACTGTGCACAAACTAGCTTGCCTGAATGCAGAAAAGAGAGATTTTGTGAGAACGCCCTCCTACCATAGTTGAACTCTCAACTATTCCTAAAATCTTCAAAGGTGGAGGAGAAGCAGGGAGGCCTATCCCAGCTGCTAAAAGAGTTTTAAAAAAAAGTCTGGACAAGATGACACAGAAAAGGGGAGTAGGAGCAGTACAGAAAGAGAAGAGTGGAACTGAAAGAGTAAAAAGAAGTGATAAGTAGCTGCAACACAATAACTGTTTTTTCCTTTTGTTTTGTTTTTTAAAAAGAAAGTGTAAATTATTTTTGGCAGTCTCTCTTCCATTTCACTACAACCAGCCTCTGGCTCATTCTTTCTATTGTTTCTTTCAGATTCCATTTCTGTCTGGAGCTTTTTCCTTGCCTTATGTTATGTATCTTTTTGGATAATGATATCTTACTACTAATAATAAGGATGCTGAAGCCCCTTATTATAACACCGTTATCATTCTGGTGCTGCATTGGAACTTCCTGTTAAAATCTGTTAGAATCTTTATCAGAATCAGTTAAAATCTGTATATAAAATAACAGAAAGCAATATTCAGCATATTTTCATTTTGCAGTAAGTTTTAAGTTAAACTATTCTTTTAACTACATTGACTTTTTTTTGGATAAAGAATGGGCATATGTCCATATTTGTTTTTAATAAGAAACATGCTGTAATTAACAGAGAACTTCAAAACATATAAAAAGCCATTACAATAAAACAATTAAACTTGATTCACTAGTGCTCAAACTTTAACAGAAAAATAGGCAAAGATTAAGACATTTTAGAATCTTGTTGCTTTAAGCTTTCTCTATAATCTTGTTATCCATAGCATCAGCAAAGTAAACTGTAATTCATTTTAAAGGACAATCAATATTCATTGTCCATTAACTTCTAAATAATTAATTCTAGGTAGTTGAAAAAATATATTCATTATTTTTAAATTATGCACTTTTCCCCTTAAATTTATTCAATACCAAGCTGTTTTGTTTTTCGTTTTATTGATGCTATCAATAAAAAAAATTCTTCGACACCTCACCACTGTATTTTCATGAGATTATAGACATAACAATTTAGGCGAGATGATAATAAAAGTTAAAAATACTTCCTATATTTCCTCTTAGCATGAGTGTTACAACCAGGAGAGTTTGTCTTTGCTTATCTGGATGGTGTCTTGAAGAGATCAGTGTTCCATATGGAAGTAACAAGTGCAGAAGTGAGCTAATATCTGCAGTGATATTTGTTTTAGCCTATACTCTGAGGCAAAAAATAGATAAAAGGAGCCAAACTAATTGCAAAGATGAAAAATGCATGTTAAACAGAATAGTTTGTTTTTTGTATAAAAAAAGAAACTACTTGCATTCCAGTTTAGATTGTCTTTCTGAGTTAAGGCAATATTGTAATAGTAAATTAAGCATTAAGAAGCAAGAGACTGCAGTACATTAGGAACTATTTGTTCTTCTTTTGAGCCATCAGATTGATTTTTAAAACATTGGAAAAAATCTTGTTGCAGCCACTAGCTATCTAAAGAGTAGCTGTTAGCAAGTCCTGATGTGAATAGCTGGAATCAGGGAGGGATCCTGTGTCACCTGTGAGTACTCCTAGTTCTCCTGTACTTTTAATGAGTGCAATTATTCAGGTCATTTACCTTTGGTTTATTGTTCCCAAGGGTCTGTCAGTTCTTTCTGCAACCCGAGTCAAGTAGACAGACACAGTGAGTACAAACATATTAGTCTTATTTACTGTAAGCCAGATTATTGGGTGCAATGATACAGAACAAGTGCAAAGGTACACAGATCCAAAGTCTTCCAAGTTTATGCATTTTTTATACCTACATGTATTCATACATGGGCACCTTGTTAGTTCAGTCATTAACTAATTAGTTGTATCCCTGATCACACATTTACTAACAAATCAGAATACTAATTGTGCATCAAGCATGTTCTGACATTTAGCTAATACCTGGTACCTAAATTGTCTTTACTCCCTAACTCGTAGGCCATAATTTTAACTAGCTTGTTATAGTTCTGTTATCTTGTCTAGAATGGAAAAATGAGGCAGAAATGACTTATCATTCTTTCAAACTTCCCCGTATTTCAGGCCTCCCTAGGTCATTCTACCAATTGTCCCTGCTGTGCTGATGTAGCCCACCTTCCATTCAGGGGCAGATCCAGGGGTGGTGCAGTTGCACCCCTCCCCCTGCCCCCCTACAGTAACTCACATACTAAAGGCACCAGTTCCCCATGGCCCAAGATGCCTGTGTCTCCTGTGAAGTCCAAGGCATTGCTGGAGCCTCAGGCTGGTCAGGGACCAAGCAGGGAGCAGGTGAGGAAGGAGACACCTGCTCTTGCTACTGCTGTTCCCAGCTGACCTGGAGGCAGGGGAAGCCCCAGGACTGCTCGTGTCCCACTGTAGCCAGGAGCTGCAGGAAGCAGTTGTGCAGGGTGCCAGGCTTGGCAGCAGCCACAGCAGGAGGGTCCCTGCTTCCTCCCCGCTCCATTGCATTTCCCCCACTGGTCCAGGGTCTCCAGTTGTGGTGAAAAGCTACACAGGGTGCTAGGCTTGGCCAGATACCACAGCAGGTGGTATCTCTTTCCAAGGCCTGGACCTGGCCAGCCTGGGGGAACTGGGCAGGAAGCAGAAGGATTTGGGAGAGGCAACCCACCTGCTGCTGCTGTCCATAGCCAAGCTCAGCGCTGTTGCTCACAGAAGCCCCTGGCTGGAGTGGGGGAGGAATGGCTCTGGGGCTTCCCCTACCCTCAGGTCAGCTGGGGACAGTGGCAGCAGGGGGTGGGTTCCCCCTTTGTATGTCCAGAGGCAAATCTTGGGGAAACCCTATCGGAAAGGGGTAGGGAAGAATGAGAAGGGAGGGGATGCCCAGGGGAAGGTTTGTGGAGGGAGTGTTACCTGCTTCAGTGACTCAAAGAAGTCCCCATCAGCTGCTGCTGTGGCACTTTGTGTCCTTTTGTGGGGAGGAAGAGGGGGAGATGTCTGCAAATACCACTGTGGAGCTAGTCACATCTCTCATGCTCTCTTTTGGAATTTTGAGACTTTCCTGATTTAATCTTTCTAAGCCTGTCTAACACAGCCCATACTCTGAAGGTCAATCCTGTTTTGCTCCGCAAGAATAGCTGCTCTTCCATTCATTTCAGTGGTTAAGTCTTCTGGAGGGATATGGAGATCCCTCCAGAAAGGGAGCCATGCAGCTGGCCCAGGGCTCTCCACTCATTCCAATAAGAAGCGGTAGCTGCATCTGGTGGTTTGGCATCTTACTTCGCTCTGACTTAATAAAGTACATGCAGGGCTGTTTTTGCCCTGGTTAATAAGCATCTATGCAGGCAGCATATGGCTCTTCCTTCTCCACAAGTGATTAGGGCATTTGCCAAGGACATAGGACACTTGGATTCTAGCCCCCACTTGGTTTCAGGGGCTTTCAACCCACATGTCCTATATTCCAGCAGAGTGTCTGAATCCTCAGACATGGCTTTGTATATCTTCCATATCTCTCCTCTTGAAGCTGGCCCACTTGGCAGCCAAATTGGAATGAGTTATGGAGCCAAAAGGAGAACAAGCAAGAGGGAGTCAAATTGTGTGGGCTCTGCTTTGGAAGGGGGGAAACCCTGGTTTCTGGTCCCTGCTCCTAAGGTTGCTTATGCACTTTTACCTCATGACTATTTAATGCCAAGTGCATCACAGACACTAATGTAGGTCTGGAGTCATACCATTGTAAGTCATGGCGCTATCCATTTGTAATGTTCACAGGAATTGAAGTTGCATCCATACAAATGAGATTGCATGAGATGGTCTGAAAACAAATGAAGCATCAATCTTTTGTATACCTACTTCACCCTCTTGTGTAAGCTGCATGTGCAAGGAGAGGAGTCACAGGAGAAGTATGATTTCAGAAGATCTGTGACAGTGGAGGGAGTCAGACCATGTACCACAAGGGTGGGTGGGCTAGTGACATAGGGCTGGAGAATGCAGGCTTTCTCAGAGATCTAGATACTTTTTCTTACACAGCCACTTCTCATGCTTTTTTTTCCTCTCCAAAGACACATGCTCTTTTCTGTTATGGATTCTGGGTAATAAGTTTTAAGAGACCTCTCTTTCATGAAGAGCTCAGAAGAGGACTGACACTTCAAGGCTTTTCAAGTAGTGCAATCTGAGCATTTTTGTAACCCAGAGAGGAGGGAGTTTGAAGGAAATGGAGCACCATGGGAAGGACGCTGTTCTTTGCTCCTAACCCTAGTGTTATAAATGATTCTGTAATGCATCATTTACAAACTACAGTGAAAGCAAGGGCTCACTCGTCACCTGCCAGGACAGCATCCACTTCCACAAGCCACAGGGATACTCTCATTTCTTTATTTTCTGTCCTCAGGATGCTTTCCCTCTTGGCTGCCCAGTAGCCTACCTTCAGCCGGAAGATGCTTTTGGTCCGTTTGGCCTGATCCTGGTGATTAGATCATAGTCCTATGCTGTGAGAGGTCTGAACTCAAATCGCCTGAGGAGAAGATGATCCTAGATCATGGTTTCCCATGCCCTAGACCAGAGGTTTTCAACCTTTTTTTGTCGGGGTACCCCCAGTGGATGGTCCATGAGTGGGGTGGAGAGAGGGGGGAGGTCCCTTGGCGTGGCATGTGGCAGTGAACCCAGAAGTGCTAGCGGCTTCTCCACACCACCCCTAGGGCCTTCTAAAGTACCCGCAGGGGTATACGTATGCCTGGTTGAAAACCGCTGTCCTAGACACATGTTTTACCCACTTAATTGTAGGGCAGAAGGTATAATAAATTGATCCTCCCTAAAAAAGTCCGAATTGTGCGTTTGGTTGTGTATAATTTGCTGCACTTCTGTGGTAGAATTGAACTACAGCGGGGTGCAAATGAACTTAGACCAGGGGTTGGCAATGTCTTCGGGTGAGGGTGGGAGGGGGAGTCTGGAATGCCCAGCTTGGGTCAGAAATGAATGGACACTAGTACTCATCCACCAGTGCTAGTTCTTCCTGCCAGCTAGCTTCAAAACAGCACGGTGAAAGCCCCCCTCCACTGGAGCTTGTACCACCTGACTGCAGTGAGGCATGGGCAGGGCTCCCTCTGCCAAAGCCCCAGGTGCCTGACTGCATCATGGCATGGCATAGCTCAGGGAAGATGTCCCTGGCACTGAAGCCATGGCTCTGTGGGCTGCATCTGCCCTGTGGACTCTAGGTGCTGACCTCTGGACTTAGGCAACACCGTATCCATTCCAAGTAGCTTCAGTAGAGACAGATTTAGTTGTGCAAAGCAAAACGAGTCCTGTAAGCCACCTCATTGTGTCCATGAGATTCAGGTTATTATGCAAAGCACAATAGGATGTTGTTTGGTGACTGAAAACCCCAAATCTGTGTCACTTGTACATCTTTGCAGAATTCTGCCTATGGCATATAAGCTTTCAATAAACTAGAAAGCATAGTGTATAATGGCTAAGTTGGTGAATTTTTTCTGTTTTTAAGGACATGTTTATAAACCTCTCAGTGCTGGCCATTTAGAGATCTCAAGGCAGGTAACTAAACCTTAACAGGTGTAGGAGTAGCTGTCAAATTATCTCAATGGTCCACAGGTTGCTGAGTCAAAGCTTCCTGAGCACGTAAGCCACAGGCCTGCTCTGATTCTTCCTTCTTGGGCAGTACCCCAGGTGTGAAGGTTGGGGCATGAAGAGTCTGGAAGAGCATGGGGTTAAACCAGTACCTGGGGCTGTGGGAAATTTCATTCCCCCCTCCCCTTCCTGTCCCTGGCTGACCTAGTATCAGGGTCAGAGTTGCTTCTGTCCTGCTCCAACTGGGCTGTGCCGCTGCTGCCCCCAGAGCTGTCCTTGCCTCACTGCAGCTGGGCTGCACAGGGAGCCAGGCTCAGCTGGGGACAATGATGGCAGCAGGCATGTTCCCCTTCCCCAAGCTAGCTTCTGGGTTGGCAGGGAACACCTGGGGCCACTGGGCAGGGAAGAGAAACACTTTGACTGACATCACTGCTATCATTGTCCCTGACTTAAGTCCAGTCCCCTATATGCAACCTGCCTGGAGCAGGGCAGGAACAGCTCTGCAGTTCCTCCTGGGTCAGCAATAGCGGTGGATGGGGAGGTCGGAATAGGAGAGAAGGAGAGGTGCTGCTGAGAACAGAGGGTAAGGGAGCGTGACTTCTAACCTGCTTTAGGGGCTTTTAGTTCCAGCTGCTGTTCTGCAGCATGGTCCAGAAGGGGATGTGAATGCATCACTGCCTCCCCTCTGCACCCATCTCCACTTACATGACCATGTAAATTCTACTTATGTACATAAAGATGCAATAGGATTTGACCTGTAATATTTCTGCTGTCTGTTTTATGGACATAGGGGACCATGTTTTTAAGAAATTGTGAAATAATCCCCAACCCTCCCTGTAACACTTCAGCATGGACAGAGTTAGGCTGTCCTAGATACTTAAATCAAATACATAAATATTTTGATGCAGAAGCTGAAAGAGTAATATGATATTTCTAATGGATTTTATTAACCTAAACCCTATCTGCCCACACTTATAAAGAGTATAAACCCTGATATAAAGTGTTATGGAAAAGTGCATTCACAGACAAATTCCTGTGCCAAACTCATGAAGCTAGATAATCTCAGGTTTTCTGTAGATGGAATTAGAAAATGGTGAGAAGTTAGTATACCACAACTGTTTTAGTTATTTCTGGCATGATGAAACCAGACATGTTAAAAATCCTTGCAGCAATATTTCTTCACATGTGTAAGAACAGGCAACTATTGACTGTATGAGTGTGGAATTCACTCAAGGTTATTTTAAAAGGTAATTGGAAGCTGTGCAATTGTGTCATTTCATGTCTTAATTTTTAACATGTGAGTGTTCATATACGTTTAGCAGTCTTTACCTTTTTCCCCAGTAGGAAGTGGTAAACAAAAAAAAAAATCAGTGATAGGTTTCATGCAAAAGGTATATTCTCTGAAGTGTACCAGAAAGACCAACAATTAAGTGTGGTGGACATAATATCCACGGGTGTCTATACATGATCAGCAGCTACTTAGCCGTAGCAGCGGGCTCCCCTGCTTTAGCATGCCGCTACAGCGAAGTAGCTGCTAAAAACAACCATGCGCCATGCGTACAGCACAGTATGGGTTGTTACTGCACCATGCTTTAGTACTTCCAAAAGGAAGTACTAAAGCATGGTGCAGTAACAACATCTTCATAGGTCAATTTATACATATGCCCAAACACAACACATTTAGCAAATGTCTGGTAGGGGAGCTCTACCAAGGCCAAAATAGTGTTACCCTGAATATGCCTATTTTGCCAAAGACCTGAAGCTCAGTAGCAAGTCCCTAATGATTATTAAAAATGGTTATCCCTATGTTATAAAGATGTAGCAAATGCAATTTATTTTAGAAAGAATTATTTTTTTATTTATAAAATGGTCTTTAATTTCTTGGGATTAAATTTCATTGTATACTCACGCCCTTGGCAAACGGATGAAAGACAGTATCATTCTGACCAGGAAGCATTGTGCAGAGATGAATGATCACTGCAAGGCTGTTGAGAATCAGGTGTCTTGCATTCTGCCAGGATGTGTTTAATCCCTGGAGACAGCATACCGGCTGTTGTGATGGATGAGTACTTGTGTTTAACACAGTTAATGGAGCACCAATAATGCCAACATTATTAAAACATCACTTTTTTTAAAGAGTTAAGCAGAAAATTATGAGACCAAGTTAGTAAAGAGCAGCCCAAGATGTATACCATAGAAATAACTGACAGCTCACGGAATGACACAGTGGTGGTTTGTGCCTATTAATTTTAGAATTATAGGGCTTTATTCAGACAGGCCATTGTGTATTTATTTGCAGTTGTAAGAAAAGAGGCTTCCAAAACAGACTGATGTTCCTTTTGGAGAGATGTTAGGAAACACCACTGCTCTAGTTTGGTAGCAGCTTACACTTATTTTTTAAACGTGTACATTTCTGCTCAAGGTACAGCTCAGTGAAAAATCAGATCCAGTATTTATCTTTCATTTTTAAAATAATAATCTTAAATTCTTCAGTCATACTAGCTGAAAGAAGATGCTGTAGAGAATTGAACTGAGAACTTTCTTTCTTGGATATAACATCTGTTTTGAAATTTTTATCTTCTAGCAGAAACAGTTGGGTTTTGGGATTTGGTAAAATGGAATCTTAGAAAAAGGCAGAAGAAACTGCTTTAGTTTCTTTGTAGTAGATATCTTTTGTGATCTTATTTCTTCTTCCTTTGACAAAATCAACAAAACCTCATATTTTTTTATTTCTCTTTTAGGGGGATAACTCCTATGTAAAGGATCGTTGGTGTGTGTTTGATGGCTTCATGGTTTTTTGTCTTTGGGTATCATTGGTGTTACAGGTAATCATGCCATTTTATCTTAAATACTAAACGGCTAGTTTTTCAACAACAGTTCCTTTGCTGTTGCCTGCAAAATACACACATGTGCATTTTAAACATAAAATTCTACAGGGATCAGGTTTTTAAAAATAAATGGTTCAGCCCTTCTGAAGTTCAGCATCCCCAGTTATTGCAGTATATCTGCATGGGGTGTTTCCATGGCAATGCTAACTTATACACATTGCATATAGCAGTTGTTATTAAAGCATAGGTCAGATTCTCTCCTGCAGACCCATGCAGTCCTTGATTATTTAACACTGTGGGAGTTTAGCCTGAGTAAGAACATACAGGACTGGGTTGCATAACAATTAGGGATGGGAGAGACTTTACGGGTTTTGCTATTTACCCACAGTTTCCATCTTAAAACTGTGCACATTTCTGGTCAGCTCATCTACAAAATGATAACTGAGAACTGGAAAAAGTAGAGGGAAAGGCAATAAAGATGACAGAGATATGGAGTGACTTCCATATGATAAGACAGTGAAAAGAGTAGAACTCTTTTGCTTGGAAAAGATCACTGGGCTGGGGGTGGTAGATATTGTTGTTGCAGCTCCATTCCTCTGAATCTTATTGCAACTTGAATTTGGGAGGGTGGCATATAAATAAAATACATCAAATAAAATATTTAAAACACACATTCATTTTCTACTTTAAATATGCCATAATGTTCTGATTTTAAGTTGATCCTGTATATACATTGACCACACATTTTCAGTTTAAGGAAAAACAGCTGTTCTCCTCAATAAGCACAAATGAGGTCCTTGAACTAGCATCATCCTTGCAAAATCCCACAGGAGATTCAAATAGCCAAGGAAAGAACCCAAAGGGTTAGATGTATAAAAAATGTTGGAGTAAAAAAAGCATTCTCTGTACCAATGATAATGTTGCCCAAGGCTCACCATGTTCTCTTCAGCCTAGAATTCCATGTCAATATATATCAAGACAAATGCTTTTAGTTAAATGGAAACTGATGACAGGTTTCAAGCAAATACAGGTCCTAATTGAAAGGCTAGATTTAAATTGCAGTTCTAAATGCAAACTTTATATACCATGTAGAGCTAAATTACCAAATCCAAACAGTCCTGGGTTTTTTGGGGTTCAGAATCTAAATCGTTCTAATATTTGAGGGACATGGGGAAGGACAGGGTGGGTGATGATATTTACAGGTGCCAGCAGAGTTTTGAGATTTCCTAGTGAGCAAACAATATTCAGTTAACTTGGGTTTTGGAAGAATGAAACCTATTGTTGTCCAGAGATATAAGAAACAGGTTTTGCACTCTGGACATCCGCAGTGGTTGGACCATCTGTGGCAGCTTGCAGAGGCAGCAGCCAGTAATCATGCATCCCCTCTAAGTTGGCTCATCCTGCACCCCTCCCTCTGCACCTTTTCTGCAGCACTCCACCTTTGCCAGGAGAGAGGTATGAGAAGCGGCCTGCAATTCAAGACAGTAGGCAATGGTTCACTACTGCTAAGGGATGTCTTCCCCAGAAGCAGTGAACTTCCAGGTGATGCTCCTGCATGGTGTGCTGCTGCTGCCCAAGGCATAGTACTGGCCAGTTACACCTTTCAGTCTTGATGCCTCAACTTGCCCAAATGCCAGAGGATTCCTACAGCTTCTGAGCTCCTAACTTGCCTTCTTTCCACTCCAATAGAGAAGACCACTGAGATCACTAGGAACTGCGAAGCCATGGTGATCTGAGTCATCCATCCATTGTGGCCCTCTCCTGTGTAAGATGAGCCTGCTCAGCATGACAGAGCAGATGGCAGATGTGCAGCACCTTTAAAGGTCAGCCAGCATGGGGTCATCTGTTCCACCACTCTTAAGCAGGCTGCAAAAGGGTTATCTGTTGTGCTGCCATCATGCTGGAGCAGATGATCCTGTGTAGCACCATTGAAGGCCACACACTACCTGACCCTTAAGGGTTCCATGCAGTGTCATTTGCTCCATGTAGTAATCCTGCATTGTTCTAAACATAGGTCAACTCCATGAATAAGTGGATTATTTTTATGGTTCTTTTTGAAGTGGAAAGAAGTGTTGATTTACAATTGGAGAAATGCAGTGTATGAAAATGTAGCATCTCACATACCCATGTATAGTAAAGATGAGCAACTGGACTTTTCATGGAAGCCATTGTGAATTGTCTAGTCTCCATTAAACTTTTGGGGGAGAGTATTTCTCTTTACTTTTGGGGATGTCTGGGGAAATTTGTGTGACAACAGTATACCACAAGAGGCCAGATTCTCTCTCGTGCATCCGGAAATAAATGGGAATGACTGGAGCATGCTGATAGACTTAAAACATCTATAAGCATGCATTTTCATAATATAGTGAGAAGCTCTTTTTATTTTGAGCAACATTTTCAGATGCCTTTTTTTCCTAAATTGGAGAAATAAGCACTTCATTCTTAGCCAGAATGGAAAAAGGGGAGGAGGCAGAGAGAAGCTTAGAGAAAGAGAGAGAGAGTTCTGTTGAAGTTTACTTTCATACATAGCTGAAAGTTTTTTGAGTTGTTAGCACTAGAAGTGTCAAGATTATGGGTGGAATACATTTTTGTTCATCCATAGGATAATTCAAGAATGTCTGAGATGGATTGTTCTAAGACTCCATTGTTTTAAAATGTATTAGAAATGGAAATTTTTCATTTGAAATACAGATTGAAAATGAGAGTGAAAACACATTACACTAAATCAGTGATTCGCAGCGAGGGTGATGCAGCACCGTAGGGTGCCTTGAGATCCTTTCAAGGGTGCCATGGGGTACCAGCCAGCTAGCACTGTTAGGTACGCAGACATGATTCACAGGATAAACCCAAAGGGAACCTCCAAACATTCAGGCATGTGTGCTTGCAGCAACTCAAGTAGGAGCAGCACAAATTTGAGGCAAGGATTTTTGCCTCAGTGCACGTGCCCAGACATGCACTTTGGTGTGTGGCAAGTTTTGCCACTTGGGGCAAAATAACCCTGCCCAGCTGCTCCAGGATCTGGCCTCTGCAGTATAAAAACCTGCCCTGGCAAGCATCTTAGTACTGCTTGCTCTCAGAAGCTTCTGGGGCCTGGCCTATTGGTATCTGGGGACAGCCTTATGCCAGCTGGACTGCTGAAGCAGTCCTACCTGAGAGTTCCCTGCATCCTCTACCCACTGCAGCAGTCTGGCAGTAGGGGCTGCTGCCTGGCTGTGACCTGCTGCCACCTGTGACAGCATGTAGCCCCAAGGCTGCACGCTTGCCAGACCTGGATGGGGACTGCACAGCTGCAGCAGGGGCACCTGCACCTCTGGGCCAGCTGCCGGTGGGCTGTGGCTACACAGTTGGCCTTTGTTTGGCACTACTGCCATGTGTATAGCTGCCTGCCAACCTGAGCAGCTTTTGCCTGGAAGATATTCTCAGTGTGGTAGCCTGCTTTGAACTGTCAAAGCATGTCCTCCTGACCTCCAGCTCAGTCCTGGGTGCCAGCCCTAAGCAGGCTCTTCTGCCTGGGTCCTGCCACCTGTCTCACTAGCAGGAGTTCTGGTGTTCCCTATTTAAAAACTATAAAATCTCTGATAATAAAAGCCCAAATTCACTCTTTAAAATACCCCAAAATCCATGTTCTTCCACAATTAAAACAAAAGAACAAAAGACCACTATATAGAGACAGAGGGAGAGAGAGAGAGATCAGTTGGGCAATGTTTTATTGATATATTTACAATGTTACAGCAGTTTGGAAGCCTACCAGTGTTTCTAACATCATAATAAAATAAATTCTAGATATTTATATGTTTTGATGTTTGCTTTTGGTTTTCTTATCATAGAACAATTAGAGCTCCCCCTGACGCCTGTACTAACCAGGATGTGGGGACAGCTGCCCCTGCACCCACAGTTCCTGCCAGCAGGTCTCATCCTGTCTGGCAGCTGGTCATGCTGGGTGTATGTTGGGGGAATGTGGGGTTTGCAGAAGAGGGGTGGAAAGGAGTGTGGGGGGATGCGGGTCGGGGTGCGGGTGAGTGTGGAGGGATGTAGGGAGATGTGGGTGGGTGTGGAGGGATGGGGGTCATGGGGTGTGTGGGTAGGTGGGGGATTGTGGGGGGACTGTGTGTATGGTGTGGAACTATGTGGGGGGGACTGCTCAGGAGGGGTGGGTCCCCTGCCCTTCACAGGGCGCAGCCCCCCGACGCAGCTCCCACCAAAAATGCCCCTGCAGGGCCACAGACCCCCTGCAGCACCCCACCCCCACCCCCGCATGGGCCTGGCCCCCCTGCCAGCCCCCCTGCATGGCCCCAGCCCTCCGCACAGGCCACAGCTCACAGTTTGCAGCAGCGGCCATCGGGGCACTCAGAGTCCCTGCATACACAGGCCCTGTGCGCCATTGGGCCAGGCCACTTCCATGCACGCAGGACCTGGCCCGGTCTGACAGGCAGTCCCTGCAAGCAGTGCGGGACCCGGGGTGACATCTTGAGCTGTCCAGGGCCACCTGCAGGTGCATGGTGCTGTGCCGAGCCTGGCAGGGCCCATGCAATGTAGCACGGGCACTGCCAGATGCCAGGCAGCTGGGGCTGAGTCGTACTACCCCCTGCTTCTCCGCGCCGTGTGGGGGGGGCTGTGCCATGAGGCCCTGAGTGTCCCGATGGCCACTGCTGCTGGTGAGCTGTGGGCCATGTGGGGGGGCTGGGGGTGTGCGGGAGGTGGGTGGGGGACCCACCCCTCCCAAGCTGCCCCTTCCCACCATCCCCCACATCCTCTCTGGCCCCCTCCCTACTTCAGCCCCCCCCCCACCCCTCCCAGTTACCTGAAACAGAGCCCAGGTCCAGGTCCCTGCAGCTTGCAATGCTATTTGCCCTGCATTTGCCCAGCATGCTGCAGCATCAGAGCAAGGGACAGGCATGGAGATGCTCTGGCCAGCTACCAGGATGTCTCTTTGGAGAACCCGAGCTTCCAGTTGCCTCAGGGCATGGTCCTGGATCATGCCCTGCCCCGCTTTTTTCTGGGGATTTTTTTTTTTATACCTGAATATCCAGATATCATATTTTGAGCCTGTGCTGCAAATATACAGTGCGGGGAAGGTTGTTTTGTTGCTAGCATGCCTCTTGCCGCATCTCAAACTGCTTTGAGATGCGGCAAGAGGCATGTGCGGGCTCATCTTGATACACCCAAAGATTTCAAATAAGAGTCCATAATATTAAAAACATTCTGACCTATTGTGTTCTTTCTGAGCTCTTTGCATAGAAGAATTGCTCTAAAATTTTCCTGTAGTCAAAAAGTGATTGAAGACTAAGCTTGCATTTTCTGAAGGGTGACTTGCATTTAACAAGGGGTGCCTTGAGTCTAAAAGATTTAAAAACCACTGCACTAGAAATAGTTTTGCAATGTGTATTCTCAAATGCAAGTACTAGGGCAAAGAGTGAGATGGACACCCCAAGAACAGCTGGAAAACAAACCCCTCATTCTTTTGTATATAGGTCTTTGAAATTGCTGAGATAGTTGATCAGATGTCGCCCTGGGGCATGTTGCGAATTCCACGGCCTCTTATTATGATTCGAGCATTCCGGATATATTTTCGCTTTGAGCTGCCAAGAACAAGGATAACAAATATCTTGAAGTAAGTGAAAAAGTTACTAGTAAAAACTATGCATTTCAAACTCAATTAATCATGATTATATATGTAGCTGGGAGGGGAGCAACTGAATGTGAATCTGATGGTGAGTTTTAGAACTGAACAAAAAAATGTAAAAATATTGATTTCTTTTAAATACTGATTTACCTGATAAAATGGTCAAAACCAGCAGAGGTTTATACGAACATTTTAAAGTAGTTTTGTTAATTTTTACTAGAATTTTTTCACTAGGTGTTGTAACTTTCATATTTTTTTAAAAGGTGTATCAAAAATACAGGATGGACTCTCTTTCTGCTTATACTTTTAAAAAAATAAATGCAAACCCCCACTACATTAATATTTGTGTATTCATCCATATGCACATTTTACACACAACAAGAAATAGTAATTGTCAGCAAAAGTATACAGTTATATAATAGACTTCCCATTTCCCTCTGTCATTTCATGGGTATTCTAACAAACCTGCCTCCTTCAGGACAGCTCACATTTCAAACCTCTCATCATCTTAAAACAACCACCAGTTTATAAGAAAGGTATTTAATATGGCACAGAAATATTGTCTCCCAAAAAAAGGGCAATGATGTATGAAGGTAGTATTCAACCCTATTCAATAATGGGCTTTGATACCTGATATTTTATGACCAATAATGCCCCTAAATAGGAGCCATATACAGAGAGAAAGGGCAATTTTCAGTTTTTAAATGAGATGCATAGAACTTTTTTTCTAATCCTAGAAAGTCCTGCATTAGTGACCTGTAGAATTATGACATTATTTTAAAAGATAGCTATGCATGATGGGTTGATGTGGAATAAATTTATTGTCCTACACCTGGGATTAACTTTACTACATCATCATGTATTCTGTATATATCCCATAATAGAAACCCTATTAGAAAAGTGTAGGGTTTTTACATTTTTCATTGTCTTATTTTTTTCTAATTTCTCCTCCTGCAGAGCATGGTTGTCTTAGTTACTTGGGTCACCTCTTCAGATGGTGATAATCAATGAGAGTCTACTGACTTCAGTGGAATAGCTGATTTATATCAGCTGAGGAACTGGCCCTAACAATCTAAATGTACAAATATGAACCTCAGTGAGGAGGAAGAAAGTACTATGTTAAAATGTTTATGATTCAGACAATAACTGATTGATGGTAATAAAGCTAAAATTTTATTTTCTGTGTAGGAGCAACTGTAATCTGTTTGATACTCTGTACTTCTGAAAAAAAATCAAGCAATATTGATTTAAGCTGAATTTCAGATACCCATTTCTAAAAAATCTTGGCTTCCATTTCTAATACATAATGAAATACCTTGTTTTAACATTGCCACTCTTGCAGGACTACTATTTTTAAATTATTTTGTGTATGTTACTGCAATTGGTGTATATCTTTTTTCTAGACATAGTCTTTCATTGCATGTGCATTTAGTGTACTATTTATCTTTTTACCAGGCGTTCTGGAGAGCAGATTTGGAGTGTTTCAATTTTCCTTCTGTTCTTTCTGCTACTATATGGAATTCTAGGAGTCCAGATGTTTGGAACTTTTACCTATCACTGTGTAACAAATGACACTCAGCCAGGGTAAGCTGATCTATGTGGTCATATGTAGATGTATTCTTTCCATGCATGTGGATAATTTCTGTTAGTATTAATGAGAATGAACATAATAAGTTAAAAGAGGATCCAAGCCATCAGTTACAGTTGACTAAATATACCTGAAAATTTGATCTTATCATAAATTATTAGCTATAACTAGGGACCTACCAAATTCAAGGCAGCTGCCTGCCCATTTCGCAGGCAGAACGCAGGGCACGGCAGCTGTTTTGTGGGCGGAGCTGAGTGGACACCCCCATGCCTCTGGCTGAGGGGCTCGGGAGGCCCCGCCTCTCACTGCTGATTAGTGGTGAGGGCTGCCTGTCATATGGCCCTGCCTCTCACCACTAATTGGCTGTGAGGGCTGTCTGTCATTCTGCCCCACCCCACTCCTCCAATTGGTAGAAAGGGGCAGGGCCACGTGACAGGCACCCCTCACAGCCAATCAGTGGCAAGGGGTGGGGGCTAATTAGTTGATCTAATAAAAGATATCACATTCACCCAAAAAACCTTGTCTGCCATACTAAATATAGTTTCTTTTCATGCACTTTCTCCTTATTCCTATGATCAAAATATTTTGAGCTAAGCGGAAACTCTCTTATACTTCATGAAATTTACTTCTCATGTTGGAGTAAATATTTCCAAAAATCATAACAACTTCCACCTCACTATAACAGTCAAGTTAAAAAGGCTCTGTTGTGAAGCTCACAAGGCTCTGTTGTGAAGCTTCTTGGGAGAATGGCCTAGAAAATAGATAAGAAAAATAATTACTGGCTAATATAAAGATCCAACAATTTCTCAGCCATTTAACAGCTTGTGGATAACCTCCCAAAATGTCAGGATGCGGCTTCAAAGGACATTGAGCTGAAAACTCACCCCATGCAAAGCATCCAAAGAAATATTTTTGTTCTTATTAACCATATTTATCAGAGATATTGTTTTATTACACCAGTGGAAAATAACAGTGAGTAATATGATTTTTTGAATAGAGGGGACAATCTAGACCAAAGTATGACAAATCAACATAGCAAGAATTCATTACCAGGGAAAATTAATTGAAGTTAGCTGAATAACTTGCTCTACTTTAATGTTGCCTTTAGGATTTGTTCAAAATTACTATAACAAGGCATGTGTCTTATTTTGGTTTAAAATTGATTTCCTTATTGTTCAGAATGTAAATTGAAGGACCAAGGACAGACTATACATTTTGGTGTACACTTGAATTGACCATACATTCAAGATATCCCCAAATATTTTCAGAAGCTATTTCTCTAAGTATGACTTAATATGATAACATTAATATACAAAATTAATTTTGAAGTTAGGAAACTATTCTATTATGCCATTTATTTGCTAGCTTGCCAAAGGTTCAGATCCAGAATAGATTTCAAAATAGATGGATCTTTGCATCTGGATAATTTATGCAATACAGTTTATGTTTTTAATATAAGGGGGAAAAGGCCACTAAGATCAATGTTTTTAAAACTCCTTTGAGAATTTTTTGTTACAGAATTTAAATCAGGTACTCTAGGGACGGTATCATCTCTTGGTTACAGTCAGCAGATTTCATTTAAGTTAGAATGATGTTGATTGACACTAACTAAGGATCTGACACCATATCCTTTAAAATATATATTTTCCTTTATTTACATTTTCAGGGTTTTTTTTTTTTTATAAGGTATCACAACCTTCAGTTGAAATTATGTTAGATTGCCTTTTCTATATGTGATTGCCACTGAATCACAATACTTTGGGACAAGAGAAAAATAGCCCTTGTACTTTCTGGAGATGGGTATGGGTATGTACTTCTTGGGGATGCTCCACTATCACCATTTGTAAAGTTTTCTGATGACTTAATTGTTTTGCTTGATTAGTTATACATTAACTGTCCATTCATAGGAAAGGCTGTTTTTCTTCCTCATTATTATGAGCTTGTGGGCAGCCTCTGACTGTTATACCATGTGATCAGCAGGGATCATAATTCATAGATGCTGGAGTTGAAAGGGACTTCAACAGATCATTGAGTCTGACCGACTGCCTGGGCAGGAAAGACCCTGCCTAGGCAGGAAAGAATGCTGGGGTCAGATGACCCCAGCCAGATGCCTATCCAGCCTTTTCTTAAAGACCCCCATGGTAGGGGAGAGCATCACCTCCCTTGGAAGCCCATTCCAAATTTTGGCTACCAGGGATCCTCGTTTTCTTTGATAAAAAAATACCCCCAATTTTCAGATTAAAACAAGTAACCCAAAATCCACAATTTTCTGAGATTCGTTTTAATCACAGAAAAATGGGGATTTAGGCTTACTTTCTTAAATCTGAATATTGGGGATATTTTTTTTTAAATCAGAGAAAGCCAGGATCCCTGGTGATCAGTATACAACAATTTTAATTTTTTTCCCCCTCTAGCTCTACTGGCCAGACCAACAGACTATAAGAACCATTTTAGGTTGATTTAGACAATGTTTGAAATGGTAAACAAGTTATGTAATATAGATTCTATATACTAATTTTTTAGTACTGCAGCTGTTTTATTATGTATTCCTCCTGGCGATTCAACTGAGAGGATACATGTAGGTAGCATGTAAGTTTTATTAAGAGATGTGAAGCTTCAGATGTTTTCATACACGTAAAGCAAGATGTGCCTATGTCAGCAAGTCTAAAACTTCTTTGATTCATATGCTGCCTTCTTCAAAGAAAAAGCCATGAAATTAATATATGGAACGTAGTCATATACAGTAGTTTGGAAACCCTTAGCTTGAGACATATGTGAAATAAGAAAAATAACCTGTCTAGAATTATTGCTTTATCAAACATGTCAAAGCCACCAAAAACACAAATAAATATAGAAAACAAACAATAACCATCAATTGCAGTATGAATGCACATGCTAACTTCTGTCAAGATGTCAAGAAAGAAACTTTGCATTATAGAAAGTAAAGCAAATTCCATCTTGTGTTGACAAAGGCCAGAATTTTAACCCTTTTGTGCTTAAGATACAGAACTTCTGAAAAATCAAACGGTGAAAACTTGAAACCTTAAACTATTAGTATACTGTCCTAACTGGATGCATTTAAGAGAGTGAGGCTGAAAGACAGTCAGTATGAAAACATTCGGAAATTATTACAGAGAAGGAACCATTAGGTCATCTCACGTGTCTTCCTTTTTATTATATCAAATGTCTATCATTTATGTGAGCCCAGTAACTTATCCTTGATTGCATTAAGGCATTAAGGCATCCAGTCTTACTCTGAAAAGATAGAGAGATAAAAAAATCTTTCATTTGGTAGCTAGTTCTAAAAGACAGTGATGCTTACTGTACATTTAAAAAATGTGCCTAATTTTTTATATGAATTTGCCTAGCTTCAGTTTTCAGCTATTGAACCTTGTTCTAACTTTTCTCTCCAAAATAGAGTGTGTTGTAGTACCTAGTATTTTTTTTTTGTTATGAAGCTTTATAAATGTTGGAATCAAGTCCCTTTTAATGATAAATCAAAAAGATGGAGCTCTCTTGAACTCTCCTCAAAGGCATTTTCTCCAGCTGACATAATCTTTTTGTGGCTGTTCCCTGTGCCTTCTCCATGTTTTCGTCATCATTTTTGTAGTATTGATTCACTAGACCTTTATGCAGTATTCCAGTATTGGTTTTGCCAATGCCAAACACAGAAGTAAAATCATCTCTGCTCCTCACTGCTACTATATTTATGCACCAAAGATAGTAGCCCTTTTTGCCACAGCATCACACTGGGAGCTAATGTTGCCTGCCCACTGTGACCCCTAAAATCGTCCTCAGAAGCCCTGCTTAACAGTTCTCCATATGGCAGTTATGGGCTGCATTCCATATTCCTAAAGGAAGAATTTTGCATTTGGTTATTTTAAAATAACTTGTCTGAATGGTCTTATATCACCAACTGTTCCATATTGCTCCATGTGACTACCATTCCTTCATCATTAGTTATCATTTTGCCAGTCTGTCTGTCATTTGCAAATATCAGTTGTAATTTTATATTTACTTCTGGATCATTGATAATCATTATTTCCAATTGTCAAGTACTTTTGGAGGTGTCAGTTCATCATTTCTTACTTCACTTAATATGTGCTTTATGATTTTGTATACTGCCAGTTTTTAATCACAATATCATGTAGTACTAAGTCAAATGCCTGACTGACAAAACTCTATTATCGATATATCCATGTGTTAAATCTTGTCAAACTAACTTGATTTTAATGAGGTTACATGTTTGCCTGACAAGGTTATATTCACTAAATCCATGTTGGCTGGCAATAATTATATCCCTTTTTTACAATTCCTAATTTCATATCAGTCCTTCCCTTATATTGCCTAAGATATAGGTTGGCTAAACAACTTATATTTGCCCACAATATCCTACCTTTTAAAATATTGGCATGTGGGCACTTTTCTAGTCATCTGGAGTTTTGCTGGTATTTCAAATGTATTAAAATGAATAATTAATAATAGTCAATAACATATATACATTATTTAATTATTTATTATTCATTAATGCATGCCTCTGGATTGTCTGTCGTTTCTCGAGGGAGAGATTCTCAGAGCGCAGAAAAAGTCCATTCCTATATGCAGGAAAGGTGGTAAAGGGGCCAGGAATCCCTCTTGACTTACCAGAGGAGTCATGGAGTGCTTAAAAAAGAAAAAGGAGGCTTACAAACAGTGGAAACAAGGGGTAGTCGCCAAAGAGAAATACACAAATATAGCCCATATTTGTAAGGTGAGGATAAGGAAGGCAAGGGTGGCAACTGAGATCAGGTTGGCGACCAAAATCAAAGACAATAAAAAGTCTTTTTTTAGGTATATAGGGAGCAGGAGGAAGAACAAGGGAAATGTGGGTCCCTTGTAGAATGGGATGGGACAGATGATAATAGACAGTCAGGAGAAAGCTGAACTCTTTAATGAAGAGTTACTTTGCATTGGTGTTCCTGCATACAAATGGTGGTCGCCCGCCTGGTCGGGTAAT